GCCCCTGCCCTCCTTACCCAGCCCTAGCCCCACGTCCAGCTCAGGCTGCCCACCTTCCCCACAGGTGCATCCAGTGAGCCGACAGACCACACGAAATTCCCAGAAGCACAGTCTCGCTTCAGAGGCCACACCCCCAGGGGATGCACTACCACCAGTCAGCTCCCCACATGCTCACAGGTAAGCCCCCAAAGTGAGGAAGTATGAAAGTAAAACCCTTCAAAACCTACAGACACTAAAAACATGTGGGTACGCTGCCACCAGGTGGTGGCAAGTGCATTGTTCAAGTGGGTCAAAATACCACTTTTCCAGATTCGAAGCGGTTTTCATTTTAACTGTGTCATAATTAATTAAAGGAAACATTTCAAAAGTCATGTACGAACTCTCTACCCTAATATGTCAGCTCTTTCGTGCATCCACATTTATGTTTAGAATCAAGGTTAGAAACTTACTAACCCCCTGAACTTGGGTGGTTTCAGCAAACACTGCCGTCCTGTTGGGGCCGTTGGGACTGATCCAGGCCCAGCCTCTCGTAGAACCACAGGAGGAGACCGAGGCCCTGGGCCAGGGAAGCCTCTCCCCGCTCCCCCTGACCGTTTCCACAGCAGACAGAGAACGAGCCCAGGAATGAAGGGGGTCCCGTCTGTCCTTGCCCCCCTCCTCCCTTCTGCTCTCGTTCCAGGATTTGGTTTTGGGGGGAAGGGGGCCAGAAATCCATCTTCTAAGCAAGCATGGCCTCCCCTTGCCCACACCGTCAGCCTGGCTCCCCTGGCCCCGGGCCTAGGACCACACTTAGAAACGTTTGTACGCGGCCGGGCGCGGTGGCTCACACCCGTCATCCCAGCACTTTGGGAGGCCGAGGCGGGTGGATCACAAGGTCAAGAGATTGAGACCATCTGGCCAAGATGGTGAAACCCCATCCCTACTAAAAATACGAACATTCGCCGGGCATGGTGGCGCGTGCCTGTAATCCCGGGTACTCGGGAGGCTGAGGCGGGAGTATCGCTCGAATCCAGGAGGCGGAGGTTGCGGTGAGCCAAGACCACGCTACTGCACTCCAGCCTGGCGACAGAGCGAGACTCCGTCTCAAAAACAAGAAAGGAAGGAAGGAAGGGGGGGAGGGAGGGAGGGAAGGAGAAAGGAAGGAGGAAGGAGGGAGGGAAGGAGGGAGGAAGGAGGAAGGAGGGAG